GGGGGCCGGACCGCGGCCAGCCTGTGCCTCGCTAGAGCAGGGGCAAGGCCAGGAGGGTGGCTGCAAGAACGGCCCTGCGTCACCCTTCCGGCCGCTCCGCCAGCTCCCAGCGCCGTGACCGCAGGCACTATCGCGCCTCCCAACACCCCCTCGCCACTGCCCCAAAAGCCCGGTGCACCCCAGGGCCGAGGGGAGCGCCTGCCCCCGCTCTAACTAGGGACCTTTGCTTGCTTCTCCTCAGTTAGTTGAGCTGCTCGCAGGGGAAACCTCTACCTCTCCAAGCCCCAGGTCGGGCTCCAATCGCAGCTACGCTGTCAGGTCGTCCACTTGCTTTGGCGCCTCAGCCATCAGGTTGCAGGCTGCCTTGTGCTTCTGCCAGTGCTGGACCTGGCACTCCCTGCAGAGGGGAACACCGCTGCTCAGGGGGTTCTGCCTCCAACCGGGGCGCCCACAACTCGAATAGGAGCGCAGGGCCTAGTCCGGCCTAGCGAGCTAACCGGTGACAAGGAACAAAGCCTGCCACGAGCACCCCTCTGCCCACCGGGTAGCTGGGAGGAAGCAAATTCCTGCACAGCTCCCAAGGGAGGCAAGGCTTCGGGCAGCAGATGGGAGCCCGACCACCATCGATGGCTTCCCTTGGCCCTTTCGCAGCCTCCGCCGCTCTGGTCTGCGGGGAGGCACTGGGGACAGCAGGACCCCTTACCGCGTGCAATACCACTCGTTCCGGCAGCGAGAGCACCGCTTAGCCGCCTCTGAGCCGCACACCCTGCATCTGGGCTTGTCGGGGACGAGAGCCTCCATCAGGTCCAGGCTGTACGTCTGCGCCCACCTGCATCGGGTAGAGAGGGGGTGAGGCTGCCCACGGGGACTGCCATCAAACGTCGAGCTGCCCTCGGCTGCAGCCTGCCACCGAGGAGACAGACTGACCCTGCTCCGCTCACAGCTCTCTCCCTGGCTACTACCACAGACCCCTTTGTCCCCCCAGTGCTGAGCGCCAGCTTCTCTAACCGGGATGCTGGCTACTGCTGCGTGCAGGTGGCAGGAGAACGGGCTGAGACGGGCCAGGGCCTTACCTGCGTGCCTGGAGCTTCAGCTCCTCCTCGGTAGGGCTGAACATGCGCTTCACCTGGTGCTTGGCGATGGCCTCCCACTTCCCTGCGTTCTTCTTGAGAATGTGGTCCCAGATGACAGGAACCTGTTGGGAGAGCCGGAGCAGCGAGCAAGGGGTGGTCACAGTCAGATCTAGCACGCTGCGATCCTGGGGCAATCTGAGCACAGGGGAGCAGCTTCCCCAAGGCACAAGGAGCACGTACCCCCGGGAACGCAGACGGAGGCACCCAGCTTTTGAAAAGACTCTGCGCCCAGGTCTCCGAGAGCACCTGAGGCACCTGGCTAACGCGGATGCTCGGCAGATGTTGTGCCCCTCTGTGCTGCTGTGCCTCTCCTACATCTGCAGCGCTCTCTCGGAGTCCCCAGCCCAGGAAAAGGGAGGCAGAAGCCTTCGGGCAGACTCATTTGCCCAATAGGGGCACTAAGCAGTCAGAGATGAAACGAGCCAAAGCCTTCGGGATCTGGCTGGGAGCAAGAGTTCAGCCACGAGGCCTGGGCTCCCAAACAGAAAGCCCTCTGATCTCACTGCTCCGCTGAGCTGGGGCTCAGGCAGCAACTTGAACCCAGCGCTCCAGAGCCTTTTGTCTGAGCACATTTTTCCACTCATCACTTCCCTGAACACAAACACCAGGAGAAGGGCTAGTCAGTGTGAAAGAGAAAGCACCAGCCAAGAGTGGCGTGTGGAGTTCAGGCTCTGGAGGGGAAGATGCTGCTTCAAACAGTGCTGGCATCTCTAG